TATCGATGTTGCCAGGCAACGTGACAACAAATTACATTGATTTGGCGTAATCATTGCAATTTCTGTCAAGGTTTCTATGGATAGAGCGAAGGTGAAATCGACCACGTGAATGGTTGTGTTGACAGCTGAGAATTATAACGATTTAATTTGTACCTGTTCGGGAAACTTTTCGAGCGTGGAGCGCAATACAATCCTTAAAAAACTTTGGGAGTTCCAAAAGTAGCAGCAGAAATAATTAGGCAAGTTCCGCCACAGACAGAACGTCTCTTTTCTCTCCCAAAGTCAAACATAATAAACAAACAAATAAATGCTCCCAATTCCTTCTTAAGTTACCTTAACTACTGTGCATTTTTAAAAATTATTGTTATTATTATTATTTTGGAAACGGTTTGCCATGTTATTATTTCTTTCTTGCTTATATTATTGCATATACAGTATATTATTGCATATACAGTATTTAGTCATTGAAATCAATTTAAATGAGAGCGATCGGATCCGTATGACCCGAAGAAAACCGCATGACCCTTCCGAGCTCTAGGCCAAACTGAACCATTGACCAAATAAATAACTGTGATCAGGTAAATTAATAATATTGATCAGTTGCTATGACTACAATCCAGTATTTTGGATACGGCATTCAGTGAAGATTTAACGCTTCAGATTTTAATTCTGAAATATTCTATTATGAATTATTCCATCGTGATCTTTGTTGTCAAATTAAGGTTCAGTCTCTCTGGTTGTGCTTCTTCGCCATTGGTTGTGAACATCCAGGGCAAAGAACGGACCAGGACCACCCATTTTGACACACGCACACACGCACGTGCATGCAAACGCATGCGCACATCAGTAAAGGCTGCCCAGTCCTGGTCTGCGCTGTTTCGTGTCCTAACATTACCTTTGACGTAATGTCCAATTAACCGGTTTCTTATGTATCTTTAATGAAGCGGAGCGATTGAATCAGATTGGATAGACGAAAAGAATAGGCAAACATTTCAATATTGTACGAATGCTTGACGTAAATCGTATGAAACTTAATATACGCGAGCATCGCAGGTCAGGGGACGTTGTAAGTTCGCGGTTGGTCCACAAAGGGCAAAGAATCGCTGGTCGCCTGCCTCAACTAGCAAGAAAACAATCAGATATATACTTGTCTCTTCAACCATTTTACATATGAAATTCATTATGAAGGATTTGTATTTTTTTTTCCTTTTCAAGAATAAAAAAAATGATCGATATGCGCCTTGCAAATCAATTGCTAAGTTTCATTTGAAGCGTTTGAAAAGACGGACAAACTTTAAATTATGCCATTGCTCAGCTTCAGTTACTTGTTTAAGTTTATTAGCTACTTTTGTCATCGTAAAAAACTATTTGAGCCCCTTGCGGGTACTCGCATTAAACATCTTCTTTTAAATGTGTTTTTTTTTCTTCCAAGTATCAAATGGCAGTAAATATTTTGAAGAAAACAAATCCCGTAGCGGCATTACGTGTGAACTGATTGTTGGATTTGAAAAAGCTAAATAAATCTAAGAATGATACGCAAAAAAGAGGATAAATGACTATGATTTGCATCTACATGTACATTATATAGTAGTCTTTATAATCCTATCCTTTCATCAATAAGAATTCTATACCATTATGAAAAAATATATTTTTGAACAAGGACTGTTGGCTTAACAATGTAATTACTACATGCATTTTCTCGGTCATGGTCAGTGACAACCGCCATACCTAACAAGATAAATCAATTAATCTAAAGGCAGTCGCTTGGACAAAACGCGGTGCATCCGTTTTCTTAATTAAACGCGGTTCTTTGCAGTCGGAGTTTGCGCAATATCGGGAATGGTCAAATACTTTCGACGTATATGCCCTAGTGTTGGTAACCCCGAGTAAACTAAGCGCAAAAGCCGTGCATAAGTTACACAGAATTAGGGGGAAGAATCGGTAAATACACGACAAAGTCTGTACTACAAAGGAGATGACACGCTAAGAACATAACTATCAAGGGTCTTTTTCAACATCACTTTCTCACCTATCGCGCTCCGTCAACACGGACAGATAATATTGGGCCACTCTATTAAAGCGTGATTGACTTTTCTGTATTAAATGTCTTCCTGACAAACCATTAGTTTAAAAGGGAGTATTTGTTGATAAACATATTATTAAACAAGCATGCAAAGACCTGACCACGCTGGATCAGAGTGCGCACGTACCGTAAGATTAAGCCACTGGCAATCATCGGATTAACCCAAATAAAATCATTAGAATATGTGTTCTAATATTAAAAGCTTGGTAAGCGATTTCATTCTTTCGAACTTGGACGAAGAAAACGTTTTATTCGTCCAAGTTTTAAACGAGGCAGAGAGAGATGAAGCCAATTATCCCTTTTCTGTCTATTTGTTCATTGAATTACTCTTGACTAGTGACTAAAGTCGTATTTAAACGTTGTCTCGTTATTTGGAGCGGCCTCAAGTTCAAGCCGCTGCTTAAGTACGCATCCACGAACGATTTCTTTTTTTGCGAGGGGGATCACTTGTCTGCATCTTTGTATTATAACAAAGACGGAGTAATTTGTTAGCTGATACGTCGAAAATAACGTACTTGAAGTATTTTTTATTGGAGGTCTTCTTTGTGTCTATGACGTGTTCATTACAGGTGCGCTCACTACACCTGTGTTTAACGCGTATCGTGTAGCATAGCGTACCTTCCTCACAATATGCATCTAGGTGCTCACCTTGCACTACAATGGGCGCATACGTTTTTTTTTTTTTTTTTTTTTCTATAGTAAATGAAACGATGACCGGTCACAGAGTGTTTAAACTTACCAGTGGTCACTACCGATACCATCTCTACATGACCCATTCTGTTAGTAAGCCAAGTTAGTAGTCAACAAATGTGTGCGCGCGTGTGTATGTGTTCGCATGACGGGGTTGTAGAACGACGTAATTGGAAATTCTATACTGTTGTACATGCAGCGATAGGTTTAGAAGCAGTATGTATTGGTAAAATCTTCGTGATTCCTAGTTGTCTCTGGTGATATGCTAACTTAAGTGAATCAAAATCCAACGTCGTTAAATAATCTTCAAGTGAATTGGCAAAATATTCTGTGTGTGCGTGCGGATGTGGGTATATGCGTGCGCGCGCACGCGCGTGTGTGTGTGTGAGGGAGAGAAAGGGAGAGAGGCGCAAACAAATAAAGTTTCGAGAGGCAATCTCTATCTTGTCGACGGGAAGATAACTCCATGTCATACCACATCCTCGATGTCAGAAACATCTGATTATTTTCTGTATCAAAATGCCGTCCACTCTAAACTGCTGCCGGCGTATTATGTTGGCAAACTAAACTCAGGTTGGCAAAGTAAGCACCAGTTGATAGATCGTTATACGGAGGTCAGCTCAGACAAAGATAAAGCTTACTATCTACAGGACGCAGGACTATCCCTTTTTAAAAAAGATAGCGTCACATTTACTTATATCAATGACCACAAGTGAAAAACTATACAAATGTAAGACGTGTCTTAATATTTAAGTCCCTTTTCATGTAAATAGTGAAGTTCTGCACTAAAGAATGGCTCTTCGTGGCAAAACGTGCATGCATTGTCATCGATTTTTTTAGTAGGAGCACCTGGAAAAGCAACAATTCATTGAATTCATTTGGTTTCTACAGTCCACCACCCGTAAAGCGATAGGTAATTTACTGTCCTGATTGCCAAGAAAATGTGATTACATAAAAAAAACGCAATTCATATTTATTATTGCTCCGATGTCAGCAACTCGTCTTGAATTGGATATCGTTTAGTTGTTTAAGTATGTAATGCCACAGAGCGTTAAACAGTGAACAGTTCTTGAAGCGAAATAAATTGAAACTCTACCGCGAGCGCGCCCGTACTTTGACATGTGAAAAACATTTACATGTCATTTTTTTAATATCACATGGGAGAAAAGTTCTTTTAGATTTCTTTTTGATAAGTTTTCTACGGATACTTGCCCTCTTATCTAATCAAGCATGGGCATTTCAGTTGGAACGGAGGCAGTTGCATGACTGCAAGCTGATAAAATGTCGAGTTATCGGACATAATTTCATACTCAGCAAAGGCGATGTTTTCAGCAGATGTGAATTCACTCTCACCCATGCTCTATCAACTGTGTAGTGTGTTTAAAACAAAATTAATATATAAGAAAGGAAGAGAGAAGGACTGGGAAGAAAACGCAATACGACAAGATATTAAACGAAGATATCTCTTCTTACACACGTTTTACAAATATAAGATTTGGAGCTTTTTTTTTTTGCTTTGATAAAGTGGACCTGAGGAAAAAAAGACATCACTCGACATGTTAATTATTAACATTTTTCCTTTTTGTCAGCCTATCACTTGATCTTGCACGTAAGATATTACACGCCACCATATGTTAGATACTCTCTGCGCACAGTTGAAGGATTTTCGACCCAATAATTGAAAAGATGATAATAACACTCCCGCCCCCCCCCCCCCCAAAAAAAAAAAAATAATGGAAAATTAGATGAAACAGATAAGATCACTTAATCAATCACCACCACACCCGTAAAAAGCTGCAAAGGTCACTCCAGGCCACTGTTTTTCGTTATTTCTTCCTTTTAATATTTCGCTTTTTTTTTGTCACCTTCACGTTTTGCCGCGCACTTCACTTCTCCATTCTCAAGGCATGCATAGTATCAACACCTCCAATTTTTAGTGAGCCTGTCACGCGAAGGACAACATTAACACTATCAGTTTCAATGTTCTACAGTCACCCAAAGGTGGCTGCAAAAGACTGCTGGCAAATGTGAAAGTTTTGACACCTGTTATTTTGATATATTTCCGGCTTATTTTTTTGTAACCGCTCTTTTTTCGGCTATAGGCCTATGTTTTGGATGTCAATAATCGAAAAGTCTAGAACACCAAAGTCGGGATTAGCAACCATTAATTATAATGACACGCGAACGGAAAACATCCAACATTGTTACTAATGATTAATCTACCTACCTCCATCAGCTAACAGCACGAGAGACACAGAGAAGGCAAACAGCAGGAGAGCAAAGCGTTGCTGACCGACCATAGCGTCAACGGCTATCTGTAGGATGAGGTCACAATGTAGCGAAGTCTATTTAAACTATCGTTAAGCAAACCTTTGACCTTGCGCACGACGGCACAATGCACCTTCGCTATTGTAAGGCCGTATGCCCATTTGAATCTTTTGTGTACATCTATGGCCAATATAAGCTAGGGTTTTTTTACGTGGTGTGCCAAAAATTCTAGAACACTTAGTACAGTTAGGCGCAAAATCAATTGCGAACCTTCGGATTCCGCTTCTTGCACGGTAATAGCACAAAATCAATCACTAGTTTGATCCGGGTTTGCATGGTCGCGCAGCTTTTAAATGTGCAGCATTCAATATGGAGGTCGGGAAATAAGGAAATTATTTAGAATTTACGCGTAAATGATGAAATGCACGTAATTTACACTCGTGACGAAACAAACGTTTTTAACCAAATATATGCAAAATGAAAAGAGTCGAATTAAGGAAAACGTGGTTCACAAACATCATTGTTTTACTTAATTGTAAAGCTATAAAGGGCTTATAAATTATTCTGCAAAACAATCCAAATTAACAACATTTCTGAAACCCCCTGTTGTGGTGACGTCACAATGTCAGTGAATGTTTGATCAATAGGTAAACCTTTGAGTTTAATTTTAAGTATACAAAAATACTGTATTTAAAAAATGACAAATGCCCTCTAGGCTCTTTGCGGAGGCAGGTGGGTCGATTACAAAGAAAGTAAATAGACTGTTTACAGAGTAATGTTTTATGAAAAAATAAGTTACTGTAACACGTACAAATGCCCTTTTGTGCGAAAGTTGCAGACAGGTGTTGAAAAGAAAGTTGGCTCGTTATTTACAAAGAGTTCGGTGCACGCTGCGGTTTGACATTGAGATAGAGTCTGCGCTCATTAGATGCAACTTTTGGAACTAGCTAAAACCGCAATTCAAGAGGGTGGGGACTGGAAGGAGGGGTAGGAAAAAAGATTAGGGTGGATTTTACCAATGCGGGTTTCACGACCTGAGTTTCAGGTCTGTTCAAAACGCTCCTGTTAGCGTTAACCAAACCCGTGCTCGACTGCACTGGACAGCTAGATTCCCCTATAGCTTGCAAGGCTTAAAACCTCATCTGAAAAGAGTAAATCCCCTGTTTTCACCGGGCTTCCGATCACTTAGAGAAGGAATTTTGGTCCACTCTCACAAATGTCACAAAAGAAGATGCTGCAATATTACATATATAAAGTACATTAACACTGGTGCNTTCAAATTACAACAAATGTGCCAATGTATCCTCCATTTTACATACTACAAGATCACAGACATGTACCCAAAAAAAAATAAGATTTATAAAGTTTTATGATGGGGGAGTCAAATTTTCATGGGGGAGTCAGATTTTCATTATGTGCTCATTTTTAATTTTCTTATTTTTTCATTAAAATTTTCACTGCAAACTACAAAAAATGTGCCAGTCTATCCTCCTTTTTACATACTACAAGATCACAGTCATATACTCAAATAAAATAAGATGTATGAACTTTTGTGGAGGGGGAGTCAAATTTTCATGGGGGGAGTCACATTTTCATTATGAAAATCTGACTGGGGAGTCACATTTTCATAATGAAAATCTGACTGGGGAGTCACATTTTCATGGGAGTCACATTTTCATGTTACACCGGGTTTGCATGGTCGCGCAGCTTTTAAATGTGCAGCATTCAATATGGAGGTCGGGAAATAAGGAAATTATTTAGAATTTACGCGTAAATGATGAAATGCACGTAATTTACACTCGTGACGAAACAAACGTTTTTAACCAAATATATGCAAAATGAAAAGAGTCGAATTAAGGAAAACGTGGTTCACAAACATCATTGTTTTACTTAATTGTAAAGCTATAAAGGGCTTATAAATTATTCTGCAAAACAATCCAAATTAACAACATTTCTGAAACCCCCTGTTGTGGTGACGTCACAATGTCAGTGAATGTTTGATCAATAGGTAAACCTTTGAGTTTAATTTTAAGTATACAAAAATACTGTATTTAAAAAATGACAAATGCCCTCTAGGCTCTTTGCCGAGGCAGGTGGGTCGATTACAAAGAAAGTAAATAGACTGTTTACAGAGTAATGTTTTATGAAAAAATAAGTTACTGTAACACGTACAAATGCCCTTTTGTGCGAAAGTTGCAGACAGGTGTTGAAAAGAAAGTTGGCTCGTTATTTACAAAGAGTTCGGTGCACGCTGCGGTTTGACATTGAGATAGAGTCTGCGCTCATTAGATGCAACTTTTGGAACTAGCTAAAACCGCAATTGAAGAGGGTGGGGATTGGAAGGAGGGGTAGGAAAAAAGATTAGGGTGGATTTTAACAATGCGGGTTTCACGACCTGAGTTTCAGGTCTGTTCAAAACGCTTCTGTTAGCGTTAACCAAACCCGTGCTCGACTGCACTGGACAGCTACATTCCCCTATAGCTTGCATGGCTTAAAACCTCATCTGGAAAGAGTAAATCCCCTGTTTTCAACGGGCTTCCGATCACTCAGAGAACAAATTTTGGTCCACTCTCACAAATGTCACAAAAGAAGATGATGCGATATTTAATATAAAGTACATTAACACTGGTGCATGCGTTTGATGTTGATTATCAAATATTATCAAAGCTATTTAAGGAGGGGAGAGTGAGCAAAATCTGTTCTCTAAGCAGGGATAACAGAAGCTTAAGGTGCTATTGTATAGGAAATCCCTTTCTCTGAATAACGGTGTCCTATTCTACCTATCATTGCTATGTTTCTTCACTTTTGCCTTTTGTACGAAGAAAGAGTTAGATAGAATGAAACGGAAGGTCGGGCACGGGCGAGAAAAAATATCTCAGAACGTATTAATAATTTTTCTACCTTACACAGTGGGACAGCCGCAGCCTTGACTTTATTAAAATACAAGTAAACACAATTAAACCTTTTGAAATAATATTGGTAATCCACAACAACCGCACATGACGTAAGCGCCATTGTATTCAGTGTGTGTGTGTTAGACTTTTGGGTCATCAACAGCACGATAATCTCCTTCATTTTAGAAGGTGGCTTTCTTTCCGTATCTCATGTTGACTCACACTGAATGTCCTATTAGATTTTATGGATCAATGATTGTTAACCCAATTATTGATTACCTACAAATATTATTGGTATTAAATTGTCATCAGTGGCGGATTAAGGCGGGTGTCAGGGGGGTCCTGACCCCCTCCTTTCGTTTTCTGAAAAAATCACATCAATGGTCCCCTCTTGAAATTAGAATTTTGACTAGCTGAATCACAGTTTTAAACCGTACCAAATGGCACCGTTCGCCCTCTAAAATACCATTTTTTTCGGGCCCCGAACCCCACGCCAAGGGGTTAGGCGTGAGGGTCGGCTTCGCATCCGCGGACCCTCCCCCTCCCCTTCAAATAATCCTGTATCCGCCCCTGTGTCATCATGGATGCTCTGACAAGCCAATGACTCGATGGAAATGTACCCTGTACTAAGGCCATAGACTGATTTCACAAATATGTCTCTGGCCAATTTTATTTTTTACATTTTTCTCAACTGTTCAGCGAGAATTTTTGCGTGGAATGAATGTCATCACTCAGCTAGAGAGAATGGAGGTGTGTTGTAGGTTTGGACGGAGGGGTAGATAGGAAAAACACGGGACCATGGCCTTTTTTTTCCATTTTCCTTTTTTTTTCTAGCGCATCTTAAACATTTTTTGGAACTCTGGTTTAAAATTATAACACATTCCCTAAGTATAGGTCACATGGCCACCGACGGCACTTGTTATCTCTCTGAAACAGTTATGTATTTCACTAATTATAATAACTGAACATTCTGTAGGGGATTTTAAATAATTGGCATTGGCGAAGATACAACATTGAGACATCATGTTGTACCAGAGGCCGACGTCTGAAAAGCAAAAGTGACCAGGAAAACCAACCCCTCGCCTGTACAGAAGAACTGGACCACTATCCTCATCTTAAATCATCTTAAACCGTAAAATGTGGAAATTCCAGACAAAGAAAGTGTTGCTTGCCATCTCCTACCATGCCGCTTATAAGACACTTCACGCCCACGCCCCGTTGTTGGCGGTAGGAAAGTGACGAGACAAACAACACGTACTACATGTAAAGACATCCAGATCATTTTATTCCTTGGACCTTTTCAATAAAATACATACACAACAGGGGATCCATGGGAAGGCACAGTTATCTTGGGACACCCCCCCCCCCCCCAAAAAACAAAAAAAAAAAAAAAAAAAAACAGTAAAAAGAAACAAAAATATCACCCCTGCGCCTAGTGCCCCCCACCCCCCCCCCCCCCCCCCCCACACACACACACAAACAC